TGCAGGGGTGTTTCCCGATTCAAGTCCACTCCCTACTTATCTTTGATGATGGCTTTTATTCTGAAGTCTATTTTATCAGCGATTAGTATTACCATTTCTGCTTTTTTGTTGTTGCCATTTGCTTGGTATAGCTTGCCCCCCACCCCTCACCCCGCTCCAGTCTTTGCTTTTTAGTCTGTTTTTCTTTCCATTTTTAGATATGTCTCTTGTAGGCAACCTATTGATGGGCTTTGATTTTTTTTTTTTAATCCATTCTCCTACTCTTTTTTCTCTTAATTAGAGTGTTTAGTCCATTCACACTAAGTGTGATTATTTTCAGGTCAGGTTTTACTGTTACCATATTGTTGTGTTTCTTTTTCTGCTGTTTCTGGTTACTATGGTCCATCCACTTTCCTTAAAATGTCATGTAATTTTGGTCTTGTTTTCACAAATACCTTAAATTCCTTTTTTCCTACAAAGTATCTTATTTCTCCTTCATATTTGATGGAGAGCTTTGTTGGATATAAGATCCTTGGCTGGCAATTTGGTTTTTTTCCCTCCAACTCTCTGTATATGCCATCCTATTGTCTTCTAGTTCACATGGTTTCTGCTGAGAAATCAGAAGTTAATTTAATTGATTCCGCTTTGTAGGTGACTCTGTTTTTCTCACATTGCTTTTGGTGTTCTATCCTTGTCTTTTAATATGGAAATTTGACTATGATATGTCTTGATGTTTTTCTTTTTGGGTCTAGTGTATTTGGTGTTTGTTGTGCTTCTTGAATGTGTACTTCCCCATTCTTCAGATTACCTGGGAAGTTTTCTTGAAGTACTTCTTCCACAATTTTCTCAGTGACTTCCCTGCTACTCCAATGTTCTGGAATTCCAATCATATGTATATTGTTCCTTTTAATGTCATTCTACATTATTCTAATGGGTTTTTTAAATTTATTTTACATCTCATCTCTCATTTTTCTTCTAATATGTTTCCAGTGAGGCTCTTGTCTTCCAGCTCACTGATGATCTGTTCCATTTTTTCACTTCTACTTTTTTGTCCAACCAGCATTTTGGACACTCTGCTAATTCCATCTTCTTATTCTGGATTGCATTTTCATGCTTTTCTATAATTTCCAGTCCTATGTTGGCTGTACCCTCTCTATCTTGTGATGATATTTTTATCTATACTTTCAATTCTTTCTTCTATCTTTTGCATTTTTTCCATAGCTGTTCAAGTTGCTCCTCATCAATATATTTCTTCTGGATTGTTGTCTCTGAGGTATTTCCTGTCTTAATGACATCCATTGTTTCTTCCATCATTTGAATCTTCTTCTATAACTGTTCAAACAACTCCTCATCAACATATTTCTTCTGGTTCTGTCTGGGATATTGATTGGGTATGCTTATTTAGGAGAAGGGTTATTTTTTGGTTTTGGTGTGGTTTTGGTTTTTTTTTCTTTCATGATGACTGAGGCAGTTTTCTGCTTTCTTGACATTATGTGAGTCTTAGAAGATGTTAGTTTGTTGTACTATATAATGATCCAGGTATGGTAGTGTTTTGTGAAGGACCTGTATTGGTGCTTCTCTTTTGGAGACAACAGTCCACCCAGAGTTGGAAGACTATTGCCTCCTGAAACCGTGCCTCCACCCAGCGCCTTCCCCTTGAGCTTATGAAATCCCACATGCTAGATGTTGCTTTTGTTGTTATGTGCCATCGAGTTGCTTGCGACTCGTAGTGACTCTATGTACAACAGCCCTAAACTCCACTCTGTCCTGGCCAATCAAACTGTCTCTGACAATCCCATCCCAATTACCCCAGTCACTGAATCAATCCACCTCATAGAGGGCCTTCCCCTCCTGTGCTGTCCCTCCACCCTACCAAGCATGATGTCCCTCTCCAAGGACCAAAGTATGTTAGACGGAGCCTCAGAATCCTTGCCTTCAATATCAAAGTACCTGTTATATTGGTGCTCTTGGTGATGGACAGCAGGGGTGGCAGCTGATTTGTCTCAAGGCAGCAGAGAAGCAGTGTCTCCTGGCAGTGGGAGCAGAGGTCTAGTGCTCTGTGTCCAAAACTGCAACCCTTCTACCTGGCAGGCAGTGGTTCTGTAAAAGACCAGTGTGTGAGTGCTGCTAGGTTGAGTGGCAGAAGTCAGGAAAGTGGTGGCTGGAAGACACTGGTAGGCCAGCCATGCCACACTGACCTTTGCATCTTACAGCAGCTACAATAACTTTTTGATTTTTATATTTGTTTCCTTACAAAGTCATATACATTGCGTTTCACAATATTTTTCATTCACATTGTGTTTCAGTACTATAGTTCCCATGCATTGTGTTTTATAAAATCAATCATTATTGGACTATGCCCATCATTACTCTGTTTTTTCAGGTCTGTGCCGAATGGATCTTCCCCATTTCCTTTAGCCCCTCCCTCCACCCACCAAATTGTGCAACCCTATGATTTTGCTCCTACCCATTTTCACCCCTCTGCTCCCACCCCTTCAGCTTTGGGTCCCCATACATGTTTTACTTGTTATCTTTCTATTTTCACAATAATAGTCTTATGTAGTATTTATCCTCATGAGACTGAGTTAGCTTACTCAGCGTAATGCTCTCCAATTTCTCCCAACTTAAGTAGTATTTTATTTTTTAAACTGTTGATCCTTAGTGCTGCATAGTATTCCCTTGTGTGACTGCACCACTGTAACTTTTTAAATCCTTTTGTGTAAGCCATGTCACACTGATTTCCAAGTGTTTGTCTGCTAGGTTACAAGTCATGTTTTCCTACTTCTTGAACTATCTGATAATATTTTATTAAATGCTACATTTTAAGTCTCCCTTATGTGAATGTGAGGCTCTGGTGGACAAGTCCATAAGGGGTTGAGCTGCTAACCCAACAATGGTGTCTGTCCGGCAATTCTAATCCACCATTGACTCAGAGGGAGAGGAGCCACCACCTGCCACATGATTCATAGCTGGAGAGTCAGCTATGAGTTGGTTCCAACTCAACAGCAATGAGTTAATTTATGTGAATGCTGGGAATTGTTCTGTCTTCCATTCCACCACCCAGCCTTGTGCCATCTACTCTACCTGTGTGGTCTTTTTTAAAAAAAAATTAATTTTAATGCTAATTTACAGAGACTTTGGATTTCTATTCATTCATTGTTGCACTTTTCTCCCTGCCCCCCCACAACACTCGTCTCTTTGAAAAGTAAAAGTTCCCCCATTGTTTTACAATTCCTCCCCCTGGAGCCCCCTGCCCCAGCTCCCTAGATCCACTCCACTATGCAGCCTTCGTTTTATACTCCTGTCATGACAATAATACCTAATCACATATCCTGCATTGAAGCAGATGAGGCCTGTGTGGTCTTATGCCCAGCAGAGACTCACAGATTCTCAACATGCATGTACCAGGAGGTTTTTTCTAACTCCTAACTGCCACTCTGAGAGCTATATCCTTCATCCCTGAGTTTCTTTTGGGTCCTTATCCTAGTCTAGAATCTTTGTTCAGCAGTAAGCTTAGATGGTGGAAGGGCCCATCTCTTATATATTCTTTCTCTGTCTTCACCATTCTGTACTGCCTCTTACTGATTATCTGGCATCATTGTTTCTGTGGTTTGTCCTGTTTTCTAGTAGTTTAGAGGAGTTAAATCTCTCTGTTGTTCCACCACAAGTGAATAACTGTTCTCTGCACTGTGGGTGCCTGAGACATGGAACAACCAGACCTCGGTGTCACCTGCCGGTGTGTAACTCTTCTCATCTTGTTTCAGGGTATCAAGCCAGCAAGCTTTGAAAAAGTACATGATCCTGAGATCAAGGAGATTATTGGGGAATGTATCTGTAAAAACAAAGAGGAAAGGTGAGTCCAAGGGTTGAGTTTTACACTATTTCTCTAGATGAATTATTTCAACTGTTATTTGAAGCTGTATTCCTATTATGAAAAATAAAACTTAAAAAGACAGCAAAACTTGCTTCACCATTCAGAGGGTTGGCACACAGACAACTGCCATGTTAATGAGCTGGGCACACCATTAGGGAGCCCTTGCCCTGCTCCCATACTGCACACTCCATGGAGCCTCCACCCAGTCTTCCTGTCTCCTCCCAGTGCCAGCCTTGAATGGTTGAGCACCTGGGGCTTCGGCCCTTTCTCTCCTTTCTCCTCTGTTAGGGAAGACTGCCATTCTGGGACTCCCAGATTCATCTTCAGTCCTGTTCTCTCTTCTGAACTGCAGGCTGCATATTTGGCATGCCAACTGTTGCTCATCTCAGTGCAGTGTGCTCAATCAGAACCATAAGGTAGAACCCACTGCCCCAACTCAGATTGTTGTTGTTGTTGTGTGCCGTCAAGTCGTTTACGACTCATAGCGACCCTATGCACAACAGCCCTAAACCCTGCTCTATCCTGCGCCAACCGCACCGCCTCTGACACACCCATCCCGAT